TACATTCCAGAATCATGAACATGGAAAATGGAGAACAGGCCCAGGGACCAAGCTCTGCTGAACAAACAACATTCATTCATTCATTCATTTTGAACAACCAACATTTAAATGCCTTGCCCCCACTCCAGCTGGCAACTTCCCAAAGATCCAACTTCCTTAATTCATGTCCCTGGTTGGTCAGTCACTCTTTCCTGTGCATTCCTGTAGCTCTCTGTAGTCCTCTGCTATAGCACTTTTCAGTCTACATGGTAACTCTTGGTTGTATATTTGTCTCCTTCACCCAGCCAAGAGCTCCTTGAGGGCATGGACTTTTTTTTTTTTTAATTTTTTTTTAAAGATTTTATTTTTATTTATTTGACAGAGAGAGACACAGTGAGAGAGGGAACACAAGCAGGGGGAGTGGGAGAGGGAGAAGCAGGCTTCCCGCTGAGCAGGGAGCCCGATGCGGGGCTCGATCCCAGGACTCTGGGATCGTGACCTGAGCCGAAGGCAGACGCCCAACGACTGAGCCACCCAGGTGCCCCGAGGGCATGGACTCTTATTCAATGTTCAATCTCATGCCATTTTCATCTATTACATTGGCAAAGATTAAAATTATGGGAGGATGGCACCCAGAATTGATTGTGGAGAAGGGAGAAGAGACTGTCCCCTCCCCTGCTACATGTCACAGTCTTCTTGTATCATTTCTAGAATTAACCTATAGATATATGGATACTAGTGCACAAAAATGTTGTTCAGTGATGCTCATTGCATTATGATTTGCCATACTGAAAAGGTAAAATGACCCTTACACATTTCCAAATATGGCACCAGACCTACATTTCTATCAGAAGTGAAGTGGTTAAGAGGTAGCTGATGGAATGCTAGGCAGCCATGAGAAAATGAAATAGATTTTCTGAGAAGGAAAAACGACCAGAATATTTCATTTAAAAACAAGTCTCGGGGGCGCCTGGGTGGCTCAGTTGGTTAAGCGACTGCCTTCGGCTCAGGTCATGATCCTGGAGTCCCTGGATCGAGTCCCGCATCGGGCTCCCTGCTCGGCGGGGAGTCTGCTTCTCCCTCTGACCCTCCCCCCTCTCATGTGCTCTCTGTCTCTCTCATTCTCTCTGTCTCAAATAAATAAATAAAATCTTAAAAAAAAAAAAAAAAAAAACAAGTCTCGGGGCGCCTGGGTGGCTCAGTTGGTTAAGCGACTGCCTTCGGCTCAGGTCATGATCCCAGGGTCCTGGAATCGAGTCCTACATCGGGCTCCCTGCTCGGCGGGAGGCCTGCTTCTCCCTCTCCCACTCCCCCTGCTTGTGTTCCTGCTCTCGCTGTCTCTGTCTCTGTCAAATAAATAAATAAAATCTTTAAAAAAAAAAAAAACAAGTCTCAAACTGTTAAATGCTGCAATTTGTGTTTAAAACAAAAAAGATAGATTTGCATATACATGTATTAAAATGTCTGGAAAGCTACACAAGTAACCACTGAGTAATGCTTTGGAGAGGGGCAGTCTAGTGCATGGGCAGGGTTTATGGGGAATTTCATTTTATGCCTATCTTATGGTTGGATTTTTCTTAAAACTAGAAAAAATATATATATACACACACACGCATATATATATATACACATATGGTTTTATTTTTAAGTAACCTCTACGTCCAACGTGGGGCTTGAACTCACAACCCCGAGATCAAGAGTCACATGCCCTACCGACTGAGCCAACCAGGAGCCCCAAAAGTATATATTTTTATAGTAAAAAAAATCTCAGAAAATAATTTAAAACACTGAATCTTGGTCTCCCTTTCTCCTTCTCCACCCTCCATATATTTGGCACCAAGTAGGTGTCTAAGACTGAACAGATGAATTACACTCTTGGAAGAGAAACTCTCCTGTTCAGAGCTGGAGCCCTTCTTCTCCCAGGAACTGGCTGCAAAGCAGCAGAGGTAGACAAGGCTTGTGGATCCCCCGTTGGTAGAGGTCACACAGGTCAGGCAGCTACAGGCAAACTTCCATCTCTCCCAATCCATTAGGGACTCACACGAAAGTGAAAGTCTGCAATAGGGTACTCAAAAATGTGTGTAGTAATAATAACAATGGTCACCATCGCCTCTCAAGCACCTACTAATTGCCAGCCTGGGGCTGAGTGCTTTAATCCTCACAGCCCAGAGGTAGGTATTGTTTCGGCTCGAGATTTTATCAAAGAGGAGGAAGGAGAGGTTGAGTAAGGCTAAGTAATGTGCTCAAGCATCCAGCAGGTAAGAAGAGCCCAACTCTATCTGAATCACTATGCTCCCAATTGTTCCTACAACCTTCACTATAGTAACTGGATTATGGGAGGAAACAGGGTAAAAGGTACTTGTGTTTTTGTAAACTCCCCCTTCAAAACAAAGTCTATAGTCCGTGAAAATGAGATAGATTAGAGAGCAGGCCTTTCAGATCCACAAGCAAGATGAAGTGCCCCGAACTCTTCATTGGGCACCAGATGGCATGATAGTAATTTTCCTTTTGCTTGTAAGTTCTACTGTCAGGAGGTTTACACTGGTATTTGTTCACACCAGTTCTGCAATGTAGATGTCATTACCTCCACTTTATAGAGGAGGAAACTAAGGCTCAGACAGGTTGTGCTTTTGCTAACGACATACAGCAAGGACAAGGCATTGCTGGGTTTAAATCTGTCTGCCTCACTCCAAAGTCAGTCCTTTCACAAGGCTATATACTGTTAATACCTTCAGGTGAACCTGGAGCACCATGTGATACCGTGGTCAACACAAAATGAGCTCCAGACCTCCGAGCTTTCAGGACAGGAATTACTTTTCTAGCACCCAGGGAACTCCCAGGGCCAGGCCCACCTCCACCCCAATGGAAGGCTGCTGCATCACTTACTTGGTAAGTTCACCACAGCGTCACAACCCTTGCCTGTGTCTCATCAGGAAGAAGAGCTCAAATCTCCCTTCAACCCCACCCTTTTCAAGTAAGTAAAGGTTTGGCAGCCATCTGGGAGGACTGGTGATTCTAGCCTAGAAACCCACAGATACCACTACCCAGCTCCTTCTCAGACACTTCTTTATCAAAGTTTTATTAGCCTCAGCTCAAGGTACCTCCATCTGGGCATCTCATTACAGAGCAAGGACACTTTAGCCATTTGTAACACCACTCCCACCCAAACAGGATTTTCAAGGACAGCAGCTGAAATGAGTTGCAAGAGAGCTATAAATCCACCTTGCCCCCTCTTTCCCCTCCTCCATGCATTTGCTCTCTTCAACCCACCTATTTCTTCGCACTCTGCAACTGGATTACTCCCATTCCTTAAATGCATCTCTGACATTCTCATCTCGAATGCTCATTTATTCGCCCTTCCCTTTGCCTGGAACTCATTCTCCCCAGCCAAAATCTATCTCCTGCCTTGAACTCCAATTGCACTTAATAGTCACCTATCTTTTGGCACTGGTCACATTAATTCTTCGTTACAATTATTCAAAAACATTTTTTCTCCTACTTATAAACTACCTATGTGACTTCAAAGTCAAGTACTAACAGTGGATATATATATATATCCACTTGATATATATATATCAAGTACTAACAGTGGATATATATATATCCACTTGATATATATATATCAAGTACTAACAGTGGATATATATACATATATATATATACACACAATATGTGATAGTTTATGGAGATATTTGTGTTTATTCTCATTTCTGTGGGTAATTTCTTTCCCCCACCCCCAAGAAGATAGCCAGGCCTTAAATGTTCCCTAGTTTGAAGGCTGCTAAGTTTCAGATTCAAAAATCAACAGTTTCTAGCCACACAGAAGACAATGTCCAGAAATGGTTTTGAAAAGCATGGGCTTAGTAGGGAAACTGATCCCAAAGGGAAAGGAATGGGAGTGCTCTGAATGGGGAAAGCACAAATCTGTGGAGGGAAAGGTTAGAGAAAGCACCAGGTTTCTGAGAGAGTTTATGGGAGTAGAGACCTAGGCTCATTTGCATATAGCACCCCGGGATGAGGAGACTGCTGTGGGAGACTGTCCACTATATACCTTGGCCTTGAGAGCAGTGTTAAGGCTCTGTCTCTTTGAGCAAGTCTGGAATGATCCACTGTGAAGGGTCGGACAGAGGCAGGGGGATTAGCACTCATATCAGTAGAAGGAGCCATCCTAGTGATACAACACTGGATTAAGGACCTGGCCCCTTCCTCACTTTTTTGCGCAATAAACAAACAAGTCAGCGGAAAACAGCACTATATGTGAAGAGCTAAAAGCTTCATCTTTTAAGACGACTTCTCAGACCAACAATGGCTAAACTTTTAGAGCCTACTATATTGGAAACCATGGGATAGGACTTCTGGGGTTTCCTTCTTTGGTCGGGCGCCCTTTTCCTCCCTAGATTGCCGGTCTCCAATCTAAACCTTCCCTCTTAGTTCAAGTCCTCCAATAGCCTTCAGTCTTCCCACTGACCCGTCCTTCCTCAATTTCTCCCTCCAAGCTTCCCTTCCCCATCTCCACCCCTCATCCCGGAGTCAGATCTCCCTTAGTCGTCCCTCCTTCACCCCTGTTTCCCCGGTGCTCTGTCTCTTCCCCTTCCCTGTTCAGGCAGTCTCTCTCCTGTCTTCCTGCCCAGACCGCCCTCCCGTGACCCCCACTCTGGCTTCGGTTTATTTTCACACGTCAGTGACCCACCCCAAACCCCACAGAGCACAGCCCCCCTCCGCGTCTTAGCCGTTGGCGGGGGCGTGGCCCCGCGAGTAACAGGTCTCCCGCCCCACACTCCGCGGGCTCGCGCGCAGACAAAGACATTCCACAGCCCCCGCCCCTCCGCGCACTCGGCCAGAGGGGGAGGAGACACGTGTCCCGCTAGCGCCGAGTCACGTGGAAAAGAAAACGAACGAAGCCCGCGGCCACTCGCGCACGCGCACAAGACTCTGGCCTGGCGGGCTCGGAGGGAAAAGGGGAGCGGGGAGGCGACTTCTTCGGGCTCCGCGGCGGTGCGCAGGCGCCCTGGCCCGACTGGAGACTTTGTTCTCCGCGGAGAGACCCAAGGGCGGTGCCGGTGGCTGGTTGCGCACGCGCGCCGCCTCATTTCCGGTGCTCTCTTTCGCTGGGTCGCTCGGGTCGGCTTCGGTCGCTGTCGCTCCCGCTCTCCACCCCCGCCAACCGCCGCTCGGGCCTCTGCCGCTGCCGCGTCGCTTCCTCGATCCCTCGATCGCACATCCGCCCCAATGCAGCGCCGGGACGACCCCGCCGCGCGCATGAGCCGGTCCTCGGGCCGCAGCGGCTCCATGGACCCCTCCGGTGCCCACCCCTCAGTGCGTCAGGCGCCGTCTCGGCAGCCACCGCTGCCTCACCGGTCCCGGGGAGGCGGAGGGGGATCCCGGGGGGGCGCTCGGGCCTCGCCCGCCACGCAGCCACCACCGCTGCTGCCGCCCTCGGCCACGGGTCCCGACGCGACAGTGGGCGGTCCAGCACCGACTCCGCTGCTGCCCCCCTCAGCCACTGCCTCCGTCAAGATGGAGCCGGAGAACAAGTACCTGCCCGAACTCATGGCCGAGAAGGACTCGCTCGACCCGTCCTTCACTCACGCCATGCAGCTACTGACGGCAGGTAAGCGGGCCTCCCGGATCCCTCTGGGTCGCCTGGCCACCCGGGGGCATGGGCAGCAGTGGCTTTGTTCCGCCCGCTTCCCGCCCCCTCGGGGCCAAGGCAGTCGTGAACTACCCTTCTCTCTTTCTCATCCTGGGGAGCCTGGATTCCACACTCCCATCCCGGCCCTCGGTGCGAGGGAGAATTTCTAAGCTGCAGTGAAGGCCCGAAGGGGACTTGGCGATATCTTAGCGCAGAGATCTTGATGGATGCGCTGCGCTCCCCGCCCCTTTCCCGACCCTTCCCCCTCCCACTTCTTGCAGCTGCCCTGCGCCCCGAGTGTTCAGATTCTTCCAGAAATGAATCTTTATCTCCCAACCCCCCCCCCCCCGCCAAAGGGAAAGCTTTCTTCATTGCGGGTGGCGGTAGACGCCTCTACTGAGGGTGTAGGGGGTGAAGACAGCCCGAGCCGGGGAGGGACCGTGGGAGGGAGGGCCGAGGTGAAATGGGGTGAGGCTGGAGTGCCCTGTCCAGCGCGCCGCGGTCGCTGGGGGCCGGGTCGGACTTAGCGGAAACAGGAGCTTAAGTTGCTCGGAGGCAGGAGCAACCTGTGGGAATCGGAGCTTGAGGTTTTCCGAATCAGATTTCCGACTTCGGCAGATAAAATGATAATTGCTATAGAGCCAGAAGGCTGGACCCCTTTATTTTACAAGGTGTTGTTCATCAGAAGGGTAAAAATAACCCCAGAGACAGTGAAATGGGGTAGGAGGAGGTAAAGGGTGGTTTGCAGGACATTCCCCAAGATGGACAAAAACTGAGAGAAGTTGCAAGATGCTTGTACCCGAAAGGCTTGGTCTTCTTTTATTTCTTTTTGCCTCAGTAGTGAAATAGATGAGGAAAAGTAGTCTTTGTTCTCTGTAGACTAACGCTCCTTTCCTGCTCTGCACTGGCCGTTCACCTAGTCGCTCTGATTTCTCCCTAAAGCCGTCTGTTTTGCTCTCTCTTCTAGTTAAAACGTTGTTTTAGTTATTTTATAAGCAAGTAAAAAGTTGCGGCCTTCAACGCTAAATGAGTAGTTGGACTCATGGGCAAGGTTGATATAATGGACAGATCGTTCCCCTTTGTTCTCTATCTCCCTACATTGGTAAGGGGTCTTCACTTTTTAATGCAATGAACAAAGCTCGCTGTGGTCAAGAATAAGAACATTTGGATAAACTGCTTACATTTTCAATTGGGTGCTTTGCTGTTCTGTAACAGTCAGATTGTTTGAAACATTACTGTTCATTGTGTTCTTCTGGCAATCGTTTTGAAGACCAGGAGGACTTTTTTTATCTTTAGATTTTTCATGTTGTCTTGCATATAGCAAACACCAGGTGTTTGAATCTGAAAGCAAGTACATGCAGATTTAGGAATGGCAGGCTAAATGCTAAAGGTTGACTGGTAGTCTAATTTTTATTTCCTCTAATCTTTAAGCAGTCCAGGTTAAGTGAGTAAGAATAACAAACTTTAGAACTTAAAGGTGTTGGCTTGGGTTTGAAATTCTGACCCTTAATTAGTTACCTACTCTTGGGAAGTTTTCTGAACCTCAGTAACCCTATCTGGAAAGTGGGATGGTGAGTTGAGAGAATTAAATGTCATGTAAAAGTACTAGCAGCATTCCCTTTGGCCAAAATCAGATAATAACTTATCACCACGGTTTTCTTCTAATTGTAAATCCTTGGTACTGAATAACGTATGAAAACAAGGTATTTTTTTTGCCTTTCTGACCACACCAAGTGCCTAGTACAGTGTTTATCTTTCAAGTAAAAGGTGGTTTCTTAGAATAAGCATCAAAAACTGTTGATCCTTAAAAGTGACTTACAGGGGCACCTGGCTGGCTCAGTCAGTAGAACATGTGACTCTTGATCTTGGGGTTGTAAGTTGGAGCCCATGTTGGGTGTAGAGATTACTGAAAAATAATCTTTTTTTAAAAAGTTAAAATTTTCACTCTTACTGCTTAAATTCTGTTACAAGAGAGTGCTCTTTAATAGTTTTTAACGGGCTTTTTTGGTGTTTGTTTTTTAATAAACTGAAATTTTAATTGGAGAATTGGGGCTGAGGTAATGCTAGCTCATTGAGAAAACAGACTTGGGGAATATGGATGCTGCTTAGCGTGGTTAAGTTCTGATATATATTGGACCTGGCTCTTTTTTTTTTTTTTTTTTTTTTTAGATTTTATTTATCTGACAGAGATACAGCGAGAGAGGGAACACAAGCAGGGGCAGTGGGAGAGGGAGAAGCAGGCTTCCCGCTGAGCAGGGAGCCCGATGTGGGGCTCAATCCCAGGACCCTGGGATCATGACCTGAACCGAAGGCAGACGCTTAACGACTGAGCCACCCAGGCGCCCCGGACCTGGCTCTTAATGTATTTTTTAATGATCTGGAAAAGGGATTGTAGTGAAGTCAACCCACTGTGAGGAAGTGAGACTCTGAGAAGACAGAATAGTAATATTTAAACTCTGATAAAAGGGTGCCTGGGTGGCTTATTTGGTTAAGCGTCTGCCTTCAGCTCAGGTCATGATCCCAGTGTCCTGGGGATTGAGCCCAGAGCTGGGCTCCCTGCTCAGCAGGTAGTCTGCTTCTCCCTCTCCCTCTGCCCCTCCCCTCAGCTCATGCTCTATCTCTAGCTCTGCTCTCTCTCTCTCTCAAATAAATAAATAAAATCTAAAAAAACAAAACAAAACTCTGATAGGATACATGTAAGAAAAATATAGTTAACACTTACTGTGCCAGGCACTGGTCTGAGCACTTTATGTCAAATATTTAGTCTTTGTGACAATATTATGAGGAAGTTACTTTTTTTTTTTTTTTAAGATTTTATTTATTTGATGGAGAGCACGCACGCGCGCGCACAAACGGAGAGCAACAGGGAGAGGGAGAAGCAGGCTCCCCGCAGAGCAGGGAGCCCAACATGGAGCTCCATCCCAGGCTCTGGGATCATGATGTGAGCTGAAGGCAGGTGCTTAACCTACTGAGCCACCCAGGTGCCCCTATGAGAAGTTACTCTTATCCTCATTTTTACAGACGAGGAAATCAAGGCACCCAGAGATTAAATAATTTGCCTACAGTAATAAAATTAATAAGCAGCATAACTAGGATTTGAAGTCAGTCTGAGTCTGGATCCATACACCTAACTCTCCCCACCCACTCCACCCCCTACTATATATAATACCTGCAAAAAATTGTAAACAAATTGTACTTCAAAAATATTTTTTACTACTTGGACAAAATACTACAATTTATTTGAATGCATTGGAGTGCTAGCTAACAGGTCAATAAAGATGATAATGCCAGAAGAAGAAGAAAGAAACCCAAAGAGCAGAGCCTAGCTCTTGGAACTGACTTTCCTCAGGCACCTCTGCTCATTTCCAAAGAGAGTCCTCAAGACCCAGACCACTCTTCCTTCAGCAGCCACATACCCCTTCCTGTCCCTTTCCCAGCTTTTTTTTTTAAAGATTTTATTTTTGAGTAATCTCTCCACCCAATGTGGGGCTCAAACTTAGAAACCTTGAGATCAGGAGTCGTATGCTGTACTGACTGAGCCCCCCCAGATGTTCCCCAGCTTTACTTTATTTTGCACTTAATCAGCATCTGATGTACTATATATTGTAGTTATGGGTGTATTTGTTAACCACTCCTCCTTCACAGCTAGAATGTCAGCTCTACCAGGGCAGGGATCTTTTGTCTGCTTTGTTCACTGCTGTATCTCCTGTTCCTTGAAGAGTGCTGCACAGAACGGACTCTTACTAAATATTTGATGAACAGATACTCATCTTCATTGCATGATGGAAAAACATCAACACAGTTCTGAGAGATTTACATTTTGAATATAGACTTCTGTGTTAGCCAAATTGATACTCAGCTACAATGACAATTAAATGCATTTGCAGACATGCAAGGACTCCGTGTACCCATGCTTGTTTTCTGAAACAAAAATAATTTATCTTGTGTTAATATTTATGTAATAAACATACAATGCCTGTACGCATAACAGTGTTCTTTTTCTACTTTGTACAATTAGGAAAATATAAGTTTGTGTAAATGACTCAGGAGTAAGGAAATATTTTGAATAGATTAATCCCCACAAAATCTTGAAAATATACTTCGAAATCCATCTTTCAAAAGCACTCATTGGACATTTTAAAGACAGTCTAGTGAAACTTGAAAATAATTTATTTCGTGCACAATATGTTAGAGAAATACCTGTTTCATCTATAGGGCTAGCAAAACCTATTAAAATTAGAAAGTGGAATTAGTTGCAAATAATTCTAGACCAAATACAAGTGTAAATAGTAGGATAAAAAGGCAGAGGTTCTCAGTATTTGCAACAATATCGTTGTTTACATAGGAAAATGGTCAGTGATGCAGCTGATTACAAGATAGAGATGTACAAATCAGTAGGTTTCTGATACATGAGCAGTAGCCAATTAGGAAAGAATTGACAAAATCTCGTTTTTAGAATAGTATCCAAAAAACTAAAAATTAAAAAAAAAAGAATAGTATCAATTGCCTTGGGATAAGCAATAAAAATCAGTTCAAAATGTATGTGAATAATTATAAACAATAACATTAAATAATATTTAACCTTTGTGTAGAGCATGTAACTTGCTATGAGGTATGCTACTTATTCAGTCTTCCTGGCCATTCTACAAGGAAGAATTTTTATCTCAGTATTACACATGAGTAATATTGTGATCACATATTGTCAACTTAAAAAAAAATCTTTTTTAAGATTTTATTTATTTATTTGACAGAGAGAGATACAGCGAGAGGGGGAACACAAGCAGGGGGAGTGGGAGAGGGAGAAGCAGGCTTCCTGGCTGAGCAGGGAGCCCGATGCGGGGCTCGATCCCAGGACCCTGGGATCATGACCTGAGCCTAAGGCAGACACTTAACGACTAAGCCACCCAGGCACCCCTCAAAATTTTACTAAAGGTGATAAAGGAAGATCTGAATGAAAAGAGAAATATGCCATGTCCTGG